TATCTGCCTTTATTAGCCGCCTAAAAAATGCAATGTGAACAACACTGCGTTGACCTCCAACCTCTTCTGTGCAGATCATTGAGGCAACTGACCCATCTGACAGAGGGAACATAACAATTAGAAGCAAGAGCTGACAACTAAAATACAAACACTCATGTGCTAAAAGCCTCCAAGCAAATAGGAGAGCAGCTCTGGGAACAGTAAGATTAACACAGTTATTCATAAGGTTCAGACTAGGGCTTAAAAAATAATCAGTGCTCAAAGAAGACATTTTTGAGGCAGGAAAATTCTAAGGAGAGGCTGATAAAATATGATTAGACTGAACAGAGCCACTGTAGCATGTTCTGTATAAACTTGCAACTCCATGCTGCATTTGGCTGCCTTGGGACCAGTAGATTTTTATTCTGATCTGTAAACCTACAAAGTGTCACATCTTGCCTTGCATTTCAATTGTTACCCAAGAAGGGATTTGGGGTTATATTAAGAATAGCTGCATGTCAGAACTGGGAATAAGGGTCCCAGAGGCTGAAATGTTCCTTTGCCGCTGACTGGCTCTGTGGTGTTAGTAAGTCATCACAATTATTGCAATGGTGCTTCATCAATTCTTGTCCCAGCTGTGTTCTGTTTCTGGTGATAGATGCCTGCAAAAACTTATTGCATCATAAAAACTTATTGCAACCAAATCAAAATGAATGCCCAGGAAACAACTAACATTCTATAACCTCCAGACTAACTTTGAGCAAATAAATCAGGATGAATGCTCAATAAACAGGTCATCTGGAAGCAACCTTAGAAGTATCAGTGACTAGAGGATCCTGATCCTTCCTTGAGACTCCTGTTTGCTTCAAGTACAACACAGCTGGCTGAGAAACACTGTTCCAATGGTGACAACTAAGGATCACCTCTGACAAAGCTGATTGATGTAAAGTCTATTGAGAAAGTAGGAGCAAGCGGGATGTTATCCAGTGGTTGCTTTCAAAACAAGTAAGACCTGAGTCTGTCTAAAAACTCTGCCCTTTAATGGGAGAAGCTGTGGCCACTCTGCGTTTACTCAGAGGGAGATTCTTTCAGAAGGTTACTTCACACAACTTAGGGGTGAATGCTAGCTTTAAAAACAGGTTTTCTTGCTCAGTAGTGGGGCTCTGCCTGACTCAAATTAAGTACAGTGGTACTTCGGGTTACAAACGCTTCAGGTTACAAACACTTCGGGTTACAAACTCCGCTAACCTGGAAGTAGTCCCTCAGGTTAAGAACTTTGCCCCAGGATGGGAACAGAAATCACACACCAGTGGCGTGGCAGCAGTGGGAGGCCCCATTAACAAAAGCGTGCCTCAGGTTAAGAACGGTTTCGGGTTAAGAATGGACCTCTGGAATGAATTAAGTTTGTAACTCGAGGTACCACCATACTGTACTTTCTCTGGAGATGAGTATTCTTGCTTGCAGTTTCTGTTCTGTCTTCATGAATCACAAGTGGTTTTGTATCTGTGTAGGTGTGAACTGGACAGCAGCTGCAGATGTCATGCCAAAGTGGGAAGAGCAGATATGCCACTGACTCTGACACTTGCTTTTCATGCTTCAAGTGAGGGGCAGGGGACATTTCCTTGTGGCAAATGTGCAGGTTCCAGATATAGGGGCATTGCAGTGAAGGTGTGCTCGTTTCCCTTTGAATGTTACACCAGATGCATGAAAAATAGATGTATGAATCAGTCTTGCATATCCCCTTCTCTTCTTTGGCCAAATGTTGGAACCTACTTTCCATACATTGCTGACTGTCTGCCCATTAATCCTCAAGAAGGCACTGTCAGACAGCTCTCTGAGATCTCTTTCAGAACAGGCACTGGTCTATTTTCCGTTGCTGGCCTCCCTCATCTCCCAAATGACTCCTGACCTCTCTATTGTGGACACATTGGGGGGTGGGGAAAGAAATATAGGTAATATTATGCTAGAAAAGACCTTATGCCATGGCTTGAACAGCTTAATCAAAAGAGACTGCAATTAGCTAGGTATTCCCTGTTTGTCTGAACAACACAAAGCAGTGAACCTGCCACACTTTCTGGTCAAAGAACAAGAATCCATCTGGAGGAGCAAAGGGTCTAAGGTTCAACTCCCAGCAAAACATGTTTTGCAGTGATTAGAAGGATTTTGCAGGAGTTACTGGTTCAACATCTGTGGTCTGTGCAAGGTATAATGCAGGAGGTCAGGCTAACTAATCTATTAATCTTTCGTCCTGGTCTTGGAACATAAGAGTCTGAACCACACAGTCTCAAACCTTTTCATACTGAGCCTCTGCAGGTCAAGAAAAAAAGAACAGCTGACAGCACAATCCTATGCATGCCTACTCAGAAGTAAGTCTCGCTGCCTTCATAAAGTTTACTTCCTGGCAAATGTGTTTAGGATTATAGGCTGAACCTCTGCAAATGTAGCAAAGCTAGTCACTAAGCTTACCCTGGCCTATGTAGTGGTAGGATGGACCTATGACATGTTTTAAGAGAGGTAGCCAACATGGTGCCTTTCAGATACTGTTGGACTTCAGCTTCTCACCAGCCCAAGCCAGAATGGTCAATGGTAAGGGATAATGGGAATTGCAGTCCAACAACTTATGGAAGTCACCACCCTGGCTAACATTGTTTTAAGGTACCCACTCACTACACAAAACTCTGGAGAAGAAAGGGCTTACACAAAGAGGTAGTTCCCAGTAGATTGCACCAGTAGAGAAGAAAGGAGGGAGGACAGAAAAGAAGAGAGTTTGGATTTGATATCCCGCTTTATCACTACCCGAAGGAGTCTCAAAGCGGCTAACATTCTCCTTTCCCTTCCTCCCCCATAACAAACACTCTGTGAGGTGAGTGGGGCTGAGAGACTTCAAAGAAGTGTGACTGGCCCAAGGTCACCCAGCAGCTGCATGTGGAGGAGTGGAGACGCGAACCCGGTTCCCCAGATTACGAGACTACCGCTCTTAACCACTACACCACACTGGCTCTCAATCAATATGCACCCAGAGCTGATCAGAATGCACAAAACATTGCTCTAAAATGGCTTAAGCCCTAACAGCAGCCCCTGCCACTGCCCTAACAACAACCCTAGTGAGTTTAGCCTCAAACTTGAGAATCAGGCCAATAGGAATGTTGCAGGGTTAGATGTGGGGAATTTGCAGAAATAATATATTCATGTTATGTAAAACGTTGAAGGTGTATGGCAATTAACATGTAATGTGAATTAATTGAAAATAATTAAAAAAATATTAATGGGAGGGGGAAAGGAATGTTGCAGAATGTGATCCCAAGATGCTTCAGTTTAAAACAATGTAGGTTTCTTCCTTCAGAAAGCCTTCTGAGCACCTATGTACTTATATATAGTGCTTTCACTTGCCAAATCTAGGCTCTTAATCAACTTTTACACCTTTAAAAGTTGTAGAGAGGGAGGGAGAGAGGGAGGGAGAACCACCCTTTCTGTCCACAGCTTCCCCAGTTCCGGTAGAACTGTGATGTAGAAAGCCTTTGTTGAGAGGCTGCATGAAACTGGATGCTTAGTATTTTGGAAAACCCAGTGCTTATTTTTATGCCCAAACAGAACCTGCACTTTATGGAAAACCCATCTGCATTTGCTTTACTTTGACTTCAAAATGGCATGAGGAGCAGGTTAAAGACAAAACTGTTTGTTGTCGTTTTTTAATGTTGCAACGAGCCTTGGAAGTTAAATGCCTTCTGACAAAGTGGCATAGAAATTAGCCTGCTATATGCAGGTCTCTGATCCAATCAGGATATTTCATCAGAGCCTTCCTCTGCTCTCTCCCTGTCACTCTCTCAACACCTGCTGCATGGGCATTTTGCCAGCTGCTATTGTGTGGGTACCCTTTGCCTCCACCCCAACTGCTAAACATTTAATGGGAGTGCTGGCAACAGGCCCAAGGGGTTTTTTGGACTCCTTTCTGTAAGTGAACTCCAGGCCTCTCCCTCCTTCAGACTTTGGGCACCCCTTCCGCTTGAGGCAGCATTGCCATTGTGGGAGAGAGAAAGATGCCAAACACCTCAATAATTCAGAGGCACAGCTTCCTAAGCTTTCCCCAGGATGTTGCCTAGAAAACCTTTATCCTTTGTCCCAGCAGACACCGACAAGCTCAGTGGAGAATAGCTAGGCTAGGAAGCCTGGACAATTTCATTACTTTGCAGGGTTTAAGCCAGAGACTGAAGTGTACAGCCTTTCTGAAATTTCTAAGTGGTATTTAAACAGTGATTCTGTTAGGTTACAATGTAAGGGAAGTGATTGATGCCAGGAAAGGCTGTTGGCAGGTGTGCGGTAGCTTGTTTTGTAGAAAAGAAATAGAAGCAAGGAGAAAACAAAGTACAGGAGAGACATTGCAATAAGATTGAACTGACAATCTTGGGCTAAAATAAGCAGGTTTTAGAGGAGATTGTGGCTGTTTCTGGAGTTTGATATAAGAAAATGTCTAATGAATGCATCACATTAATGGTAAAAAACACATGTCTATGTAACTTGGAAGCTGAAAATGATTACTATTATTATTTGAAAGCATCATAAGTTTCATATCATTTATTTTCTATCTCATTTATTTGGCCAGATTTTACAGCCACATCACAATACCGATGTAAATGAAAATGGGATTATTGTGCTGATGTGACTGCCTGTGAAAATGCAAATGATTCTGCTCATAGTGTTTCTGAAAACAGTGCAAGATTTAGGGATCACTCAGATGCCTAAAATATGTGTGTATACAAGATTTAGTGTCCTGAAGGAACATTCCATGTTGCCTTACTCTTTTGCATTAATTTCTCTCTTACAAAATGCAGTATTCTCTAAAAGCTGAAAGATTTTTATCATATGAATTAAGAAAGAAAGAAAACAACAACCCCTAACTGGTATAGTGACTGGTGGCTTTTAGAACTGCATTAATTAAGTAATAATGGCATCACATATGGAAGGAATTAAGAGGTATTTGAGTTGATCTTAAGATAATAATCACCAGTTAATGCTGAACTTACGTATGGTGCAGAGCACACCAACCACAGTGAGGGTCTCCTGAACTCAGACATTCTCCACAGGTTGTGTACTGTTCACATGATTCAACGGGAACCTGAGACACCTAGAAAGAAAGGGAATAAAGCAAACATTCACTCGTCTTGTTTGCACAATAAATCAAGAAAACAAGCTATGCACTGCTGAACTTTCTGCAGTGAGTGAGCACATAAATTTTAAAATTAAAACACGTAACGTTCTTACAAATGTAAGTAAATAGATTGCCGCTTCCCACCACTGCTTTCATTCTAATGTGGGCCCAATATGTGATGGATGCATCTCTGTGGGTGATGATTAGCTGCAGCCCTTAAGAAAGCAAGTGTGTCTGCTCCTGGGGGGGAAAAAGGGGGGGGGAGTGGCACCCTGAGCCAAGGGTGCAAGGGACCCTTAGCTACACCTCTGTTTAAGATACTAGTATCCTTGGGCCAATATGCCTACTGATAGCAAAGGACTTCTGAACTGATACACAGGCCCTGGCTGAATGAAGTCCTCAGAGCACCACTAGTCAACTGATTTTGATTTCTTCTCAAAATATTGCAGATTGCTACAGTTTAGAATAGACACTTCAGAGCTGGCTCACAACATTTTTCTGCATGAGATGGAACAGTAAATGCCATCCCTTACAAGTCAAAGTGCATAGTATCCAAGACTGGCCAAATTATTTTTTTCCACAGGAGATAGTAAAAATACAACAATAAGAAGTTAAATAACTAACAATTTGCTACCCTTTCATGACACGCAAAATCAGTTGCTTGAGGCAGCCACTTCAGTCTGCCAAATGGCAAGGCCACCTCTTTTTCACCATTTCCAAGCTTATTTTACCCACTGATGTCATTCAATAGGGGCTTAGAGTTTCCTCAGAGTCCTTAAGCAGAGCTTTCTATCTGAACAATTTATCTGACTGAAGCAAGGCAGGGAAAAGTCAAAAGAATAAAATGGAAACACTCAATCTTGACAAGCAGAGGAAAGCAATAGATTCAAAATATTGATTATTAATAGTGCATCAATTTATGCAATATCTTTTCCATGTACAATGTACAAACAGGCTGACAGAAAGCGATTTGCCAAAGACCAAGTAACGAATTCGTGTCTAAGGAGAATTCCTGGTTTCCTTAGCCCACATCAGATTTCCCCCTCAAAGGATCCCATTAACTCCTAGACATTCATATCCATGGCAGACTGTGGGGTCTCAAATTTCAGTGGCGCCCTGTGTGACACCAAAATTTGGTGCCTCTCCGCCTCTCGAGCTCAATTCCGAATAATAGTTGTGGTGTTCCCTGCAGCACCCCTGAGGCTCTGTGCCCAGTGCAACCAAACTCATTGCACTCCCTTAAATCTGTCTCTGTTCCTATACAGCCATTCCCATGGAAGAAGTGTAACAAGGTGTTGAGTGGTGCTGAATTTTCATCTTCCTAACTGAAGAAGAATCAAAAGCCAGGGGAAATAATTCATTAGTGGGGAGGGCACATTAGGCAGCAGTATAGTTCCGTAGAGTGGCACAGATGTCTATTCAGATGACAAAGGGACCACACAGAGATCTGTGTTACCGGTACTTTATATGTTTACAAGCAGCGTCCTTGATCACAAATCTGTAGAGGTGAAGGGATTCTCAGCTGGGTTCAAACTGGGAGAATGTTGGAGGCAGAATGCTGCATTGGAGCATATTCCAGAGATTTCCACTGACATTTCAGGCAGCACATGAAGCACCAGAAGAGCCATGCATATCACTCTATGAAGCCTAGCAACAGGGTAGCCCATGCAGCAAGAACTGCTACAGCTTTTGTGTTTGAAAATGTAATTATGATAGAAGGGTAAATTCAAAGGAAGAGGTGGCAGAACAGGATGGAAAGCTGGCAACCAAGTCTGGCCAGTCAGTGCCACAAGCTGGAATAAATCAAATACCCATTTTATAGATGAGGGCTGCTGCATTTGTGTCTTTATGGGGCCTGTAAACATTTCTCTGAACAAAATAACAATCATCATGATTACTCCTTTCAACTGCATCGGCACATGGATAGCTGTACATCAACCAACAACCTCCTCGCTGCCTGCTGGTACTTTGTGTAACTGCGGAGAAGCCTAGCAGGGCCAGAGAGCAGGGTACAGCCTGTGCTGACAGATGGCCCAGCAGTCCAAGCTGAACACATCAAGGATCGATTCCTGGCTTGAGCAAGGGAAACCTGTCTGCTAATGCCTCAAGCAACACTTCTCCTGGCACAGCTCCGGATCAAAAAGCTGTTCCCACAAATGTCGAACCACATGAATTACAGCAGACATGGGTGTGACCAGGAGATGGCTGTGTATTCCACATGGATCTGAGAAAATGCACTCTGTGTTGCCTTGTTTTCAGGCAATACTTCCTCCAGGGAAGGGTCATAGCAAGATGTGGATTAAAAGAGCCATGTACTCATTGATAATGTAGTGTTGGGAAAGATGCTGGAAGAGGAAGATTAAAGGATCAAGGGATTCAGCAACTCCCTTACAAGGGAAGATTGCAATGTCTGTAGGTGAATTGGGGGGGGGCATGATAAAAGTTTGTAAAATATTACAAGGTGTGAAGAAAGGGATCTTTAAATGTTCTCTTCCTCTCTCATAATACTGGAACCCTGGCCATCCAATGATGCTGAATGGTGGAAGAGTCAAGACAGACAAAAGTAGATACCTCTTCACATAGTTAAAACTATAGAATTTGCTTGCCCAATATATGGCAATGGCTGCCAACCTGGATGATTTTAAAAGGGTACTGAACAAACTCATGGAAGATAAGTTATCAATGGCTACTAGTCATCATACATATATCCTACATCCAGCAACATGCTTCTGAACATATTACTGGGGAAGCACATAGAAGATAATGATGATTTGAATTTATATACCACCCTTTAACCAAAGATCAAAATGCCTTTTTCCTTCATGTCCTGACTTAACCGGATCTTTTTCTGTTCATCTATCAACTGATTTGCAGTTCATAGGCTAGTTAATTCAATTGGGGACTCAGATATTATGTATATATGTGGAAGACACATTTATCCTTGAATGGTATGTTTGTTGAACTACTTGAACTTGATATAGGAAAAATGAAGTTCTGCAAAGGAAGATGAATAAGTTACAGGTACTTTTTGTGTATTTCTGGCACTATATACACAATGCTAATAATAAAGAGAAAGAAACAGGCAAGGAGCTAGGAAGAATGTAAAAGAAAATGAGCTTCTGGGGTTTTGATTGGAAGTGAAGAGAAAATTAAAGTTTTATGCCCCTCCCACTCTCAAAAAGCTTTGTGCTCCAGTAGGTTTGAGGAGATTTTTTTTTTTAAATTCCTGCTCCAGTTCTCCTCTTCCATGCATAAGCAAAGTCTGCTGTATCTGTTACACTCACCAATGGACTCTCATTCTGCCTTGCTATCCAAATATAGTTCTTGTGCCGAGTTAACTAAAGGAAAGAATCCAGACTCTTTTCCCCCTCTTAATTTTTCTGGCCCTTGTGAGTGATGTCGGCAACTGGCTAAGAATTAAAACAACTGTCTGCGTTGCATTTGCTCCGTTCGTCAAAACACTGCCCAGCTCCCAGCAGCTGGAGAGTCAGAAGCTGAAAGGAATCAGTGTGCCTTGGAACAAAGGCCACTTTCACGCCAAATACTGTTGATACAGTGGGAACTCAGTTCCTCTCTACATTTGAAATCAATAAGGCCCCTATTTTTCTTGTTTCCTGGGCCCTACTTAACAGATTTCTCCAGAGGAAAAAAATGGATGTGTGTAAGTGAGTAAAACGAAAAGGGTATGAAGTCAGATGCAGCTCAAGTCCCCTTGGAACAAGCAAGCAGGTGTAGCTATCATAAGATTCTTGGATCTTATTCCATAGTCTGACCCTATTCTCAAGTTAAATGAAAGGTGACATTAAGTCACTTGCTAGGTGAAACAATGCTCTTGTTCGATATTTGGCAGTCGGGCAAAAATATATGCACTGATAAAGTAGATAGAGCTGAGTAGTGACTAAAACGTAGGCGGTATCTTGCAGGAGGCAAGGAAAAGAAGCTTACCATGGTAGGATTGCCGCATTAAAGTTCTCCATATTTGGAAAGCCTAATCTGCATATCGAGAAAGTGATTTACTAATTCTGCAAACTTTACACTCAATTTTAATGAAAATGTAATTATTTGTCTTTGTTTTAAGTATCTAAACATGCAGCACATCAGCATGCAAGTAAATAAGATGTCTGCATGCAACTGAGTGGAGGATTGGGATGGGAAGAGCTTGGAGGTGGGCAACTGAGCTAGGTAGTTTTACCTGCAGCAATTTGAGCAATGTTCTATATAGGTGATTTTTCGCTGAAAATCCACACCACCTCAACCCACTTCTAATCTGTATTATTAACTGGACTATATTGCAGGGCTGTTATAAACAACTCTTTCTCAGTCACAAGCACACACATATGTAATATTGAGGGTGGTGGTGGGGAACAATTTTTTTAAAGTTAAAAAAGAAATCACATTTTATATGAAGTAAGACCTGAGTTTGAAACAGCATAAATTACTATATTTTATGCTACCTTCTGTCAAGTGAGGAACCTTGCTGCTGTCCTATTGATAATTAATTAATTAAATAAATTTCTATACCACCCTCCATCCAAGGATCACAGGGCAGTTTACAATATACAAACACAAGAATACATACTATAGTAATACAGAATAACATAGAGTAACACAGTAACACCTTTCCTCTTTTTAAAGGAAGTAGTTATGATCTGTAGTTTTTTCTTATCTTTCTGCCACTTTGTGTACTCACAGGCATCTCACTGTCAAAAAGTTTCTCTGAAGTCTCTCTGGCACTTTTCAGTTACAAGAATTCCATTTGTTCTGTCTTGAGACTCTCGCTTGTCTATATTTGATATAGGTATGCCTGCATTCTCAGTTGTTTCATCCATCACCGGCTCAAGACTTGTAATGCTCTGCAGATCTCTTCTGTTGCTCTTGTAGACAGCTGAACCATCAGTCTGAACCAAATATTATCTTGGGGTCATATGTTGCTCAGTCACTTTTGCAGGTTTCTACACACCATTCTGACAGACGGT